CTGCTGAGGTTACTCAAATACCAAAGCCAAGCACCCTGATGTTGCACTTTGCCTGTGTTTGGAGGGAATAACTGACTTCTACTGCAATATCAAATTAACCAGCTGGCTAACGAGAGGGATTATATGATATATCTTGTGTAAAACATTGTAGTATCAAAGAACACACTTTGTTTAGATGTTATCCTTGTTGAGATGTTGTTTATTGTATTAAGTTTAAAAAAATATCTATATGTATGTATATATTTTAAGATCTTTGTCATTTTCTGATTGATTTCTATACTAGATTTCTCCTCTGGCTTCATGGTAGGAGAGCTTCTAGTGGCTCAACAGCAAACATCTCTGACCACTAGTGAAAATAAGGCATCTGTGCTTATCCATATTGATTAGAAGTCATGTCCTCTTGTTTATTATCCAGTGAGGATGGACAAAAGCCTTTGTCTTTTTAACTCATTGTTTACTTCAGCTTAGTGTTAACGTGCTGTGATTCTGAAAGCTGGGTGATCTCTTACATATGTGGTTGTGTTTTTTTCTGTATTTGAAAGATATCAAGACAACACTTCAGTTATGAAGTGCACAGTTCACCGATGCACCTTTGATCTCCAAACGTGCTAACATTGCTGATAATACATCAGCTTCATAACAACAAAAGGTTGTTAGTTATTTCTTTAGGTATAGTTAATGGAGGAGGGCATCAACAAATAACAGACCTGGAAATCTAAAATCTGCCAACAAAGCAGGCATTCTCACGCCGGTTTTGGAATGGTGGGTTTGTTTCCTTGGCCCATGCAGGTGCTGCCAGGTGAGATGCAGGCAGAACTCAGTCCCCAGCATGGGGAGGTGTGGGGTGTTGGTGGGTGGGCAGCACCGCTCAGCCTGACTTCAGGGCCTTGCCTTTCCTGGTGGGGTGCTGGAGGGTTGCTTTGTTATTGCAGGTTCACACGCTGCCAATTGCAGCATAAATCACAGTGTGCAAAGCAGCACGTGCTGTTCCAGCCTCATAGGCTCTGTTACTGCTGATTACCATTTTTAAAGGCTTTTGGAGCGCGGTCCCAGCCTGCAGGCAGTTTGGAGGCTGAGCTGTCCAGTTTGCAGAGCCAAGGGCCTAGATGTTGGCTGGATTCTGCTGCTGGTACGACAGGAACTGCAACCATCCAATATTACCTCAGTATTTATTTTTGATCCCCTGCCTGTGTGCTGTCTGCACGTGTTACCCCTCATAACGTGGTGCAGTTTGGGATTTTGGGATGCTGCTTACTTCCTTGCACTTATTCGGCTGCAGGGCACAGCCATGCTGTGAGTGTCCCAGCACAGCTGAGGCTGTGTGCTATGTTCCCTGCGTGTAGCTCAGGTCACTGCTGTCCTCAGCTGGATGGGATGTTCTCACGTGCAGTGGATAGGTATTATTTTGGGTTCTTCTCTGGGAGCTCAGAACAAAACGATTCACTCTTCATCTTTGCTTGCAACATCTGAGCAGCAGAAATGCTGCTCACCTCACACTGGTTGAGGAGGAAGGTTCTTCTGCAAACTACTGAAAAGGTTAATGGTATGAAGGATTAAATACTCACTGTAGTTGTATTTCTCTGCATCTTTTGTGTAGAAAATAGCACAAATGCTGTAGTCTGACAGATGGTAAGTATTTGAAGTGTCTGTGCAAGTTTAGGTGCAGGATATGTAAAGTAGCTTAATATCTGTATGAGGCCTAATGATATTTGCTGCTAAAATAATTTCGTTAAAGCAAATAGCATGAAAGATCTGTGAATTAAATGCAAGGCTTCTGTGGGAATGAAGCACCTCCTTTCTTGCCTTGACCTCACCTCTGGGTTTCCTATGCCCAAGAATGGTGGTGACCATGGTTCCTGTCTGCACCAGCTGTCTGTTGAGGCTTTACAAAGTCTTCTATTTTCCAAATTTTGTAATACTTCACGTATTTGTGTGAGTCCCAGGAGCCTGGCAAAACTTGATAACATACAGACAAGAGTTCTGTTGAGTCAGATTCTGGAGGTGTAAGCAAGTCTTATCTAACTCTTTCACCTGTGACAGCAGGCTCAGATAGCAGTGTTTGAGGCAAGCTCTTGAGCACATCTTTCTTCACCATATTCTGCTTTTTCAGCAAGAGAGGACATACTTTCCAAAGATTCAGACTTTGTGCACTGACTTCTCTGATACAGTTTAACTTGTCTGGCATTTAACTTTGAAGTCAAATGAAAGAAAATCCAATAAAGATAAATGAGAGATCTATAAAGGATCCAAGAGCAAATACAGTAGAGTCAGCAATTAATTTGAAAATACAATGTGTTGAGAAACTTGAGAGTAATGGTTTGTTTGAGGCTAGGGCTCTTCACAAAGAGTTGAAAGCATATAAGATAATGAATTGCTTTGGTAGCAAGTTTTTGAATCTATCATGGCTGTGATTCTCTACATGTTCGTCTGGCCACAAAAGTATTTTGGACTGGGTGTATAAAATAATACTTTGAAAATTATGCTAAGAATTGTGCAGTAAACATCAACAAAGATGAGTTCAGCTTCCCACAGAATTTTGTGTGGGGAACTTAAGTCTGCTTTCTCTTCAGCTGAATCTCTTCACCTCGTTTAGGTGCCCTGCCATTTCTGACCAGAAACTTCTTTGTAGAGACGGGTGGGATGGTTGAACTGCTTATTCAAAATAGGCAGCCGATGGTTCTGTCAACTAGCTGTGCATTATGTGGTAGTGGTCATCTTCAGATGTGTTCTCTGGATTTTTCAGGAATTAATTTCTTTCAGAATGTGTTGTCTGAGTTGTCTTTGGTTTGGCTGGTTGGGGTTGTTCATAGTAAGAATGTATTCAAGTGAAGAATTGGAGTTATTTGTTCTTTTTTGCTGGTTAATCAAAGGTCTGTGAGCAGATGTGTAGTGAATCACAGCTACAGAAAACAAGATGGTGGAACTGTGATGCACCAGATATTTGACTGCATATTTGTGATTAAGTAGTGGTATACATGTGAGTTAAAGTGACATTCCCATTTATTCAATTTTCCACCCCTGGACTACATAAGAATACGTCTGTGTTTTCACCATGTAGGAAAAGATAGGAAATACTGTCATTTATTTACAAACCATAGCTTGGATTTTAAGTGATTAGAAAAACAACTTGAAATTATGAGATGTGATCAGCTTTAAAAAAAAAAAAAAAAATCTGAGGGAGTTGAGCTGGTATTAAGGAGAAGGTAAGCTGGATGTTCAGTTTCCCAGAGCTGTGCTATAAAAACCACAGCATGCTCTATGTGATCAATAGAAACAACTGATGACCATCCTCTCTGAGGACAGTGTCTGCACACACATCTGAGTGATTCTGGGGGAAGAGACTGTTCTATAGTTATGGCAGAACAATGGACAAACAGAAATCTGCACAGGCTTTCCTTCAATACTGATGTACAACATTGCAGAGTTCATTGCATCTTTTATGCTTGGTTCTATTCAAGTAATTATACAAAGAGGAAATATTTCAGATTTCAAGGTCAACCACTCCGGTTACACACTGTGTGTGACATTAAGCAATGAGTTGCAATACTTAGGATTTCACTGTTTGCTCTCATATGGCATGTGGCTTGAACAGCTTGCTCACTGCATGCTATTCTATAACTCTGTCCAATCTTCATATAAATATCCCCAATGCTAGGAATTTTTTTCTTTATAAGCCTGTTTTACAATGTCTGCGTAATAAGATTTGTGCTCGAGCTGTCATTTCTGATTATGTTACTCTTTATTTATATGGCATCACTTCTAGTGGTCAACAGAACGAGTCTGTGTGAATCCTAATGCATTTCCTTTTTGCTGTAACATGTAAGTGTCTGAAAACTGATCAAAACAGTATGCCTTGATTGTATGTTTTATTTCTGCCAAAAGGTTCAAATACAACAGATGAAATATTCAATGAGCATAACACAGATTGTCCAGAAGAAACAATACCGTTCACCTTGTTTTGGAAGATGGGTGAACACTATTAATTCTCTAATATATTCTACATGCATCTTCTTGTTTGACAGCTGTTATTTAAAGATTTTGCTCTAGCTTATTGCTGCTCTTATGAGTACTGTGTTCAATTTTGGGCCTCTCACTGCAAGAAAGACACTGAGGCCCTGGAATGAGTTCCACTGAAAATCAGCAATATAAATCCCAGCTTTCCTCTGGTTGCATGCCAGAAGTGGTGCATATGGTGCTGAGTGACGGATAATGCAGGATTGCCTATGATCCTATGATCCTGGTGCTGTATTTGGTTCCCTGTCTGAATTTCTACCTTAGTAAATCAGTAATTAGCTCGGAGTGCCATACTGGGAGGAAGCAAAACACCAATGTCTCTTATCTGAAGGCTGGTGGTATACAGTATATTCCCAAGAATAAAGTTACTGCAGTGCGCATCATCTAAAAGGTTCACCAAAGCAGTCATAAACTGATTGCTTGGTATGAATATGGAGAGGGATTTGGAGCTTCTGTGCACAGCTAGTCAGAAATGTCTGCCTAGCCTTGAAGAATTTAAAAAATGCTGGTGTGAAATATTATAGGGTATTATTTTTAAGATTCTCAAGCAGAAAAAGTGATAGGTATTGTTCAGCCTGAGCCCTCTGATGCATGCTATTGTTAACATTAATTTTAAATCTTTTCAAAAACATCTTCAAAATGTCTATTAAAATATTTAATTGCAAGGTGCTTTTTCTTTTCCTCCTTCATCACTCCCAAGTATATTGTTCTGTATCTCTGAAAAGGAGCACTTCTGGCTTTGACAGCCCAACCGAGGAAGGGAGGCAATCAGTGCAAAAGGGTGAGAGCAGAAAAGCACTGAGAGTCCTGAGACTGGGAGGGGAACTTTTGCTTGAAGAGGAGCGGTAGGACTTGGAAAAGGAACTGGTTTCTTATAGTTCAGTACCTGAAAGCTTCAAGTTACGTTTAGTGATTTTAGTTGTTCTCAGTGTATCAGCACAGGGAGAAGTATTTACAGAGGAGATTCTCCAAGACACAAAGGGCAGTTAAGTACCAAGCTGTCATTGACTTTTAATGAGAAACAGATACTTTACCACTCTTTGGGACATTCAGGATTGCCTCTCAGGTTATCCTCTTTCCACACTTGCTGGAATGATTTTAAAAGATGCAAAGCTTCTGTGCCAGAGTTTCATCACAAGATGTTGGCATCCTCCTCAGCAGACGTGGGGAGCTGGCAGGCAGGATCCTGTGGGGTGGTGATCTAAGGGATAAAAGAAAAGGCAGGTTCTAGAAGATCCATCAACACAACAGCAGAGCATCCTCCTGCATGGGGATGGTAGCAAAGTGGTAGGAGCTGTTATGGGAGGGATCAGGAGCAATTTTAGGAGGAAAATCTGAAGAAGTTATATAGGAGCAGTGAGGGGCTCTTGGGAAATTACAGTGAAGGCATAGCACAGGCATGTAAGGGTAAAATGAAAAGCTTAAGGAAAAAGTGTTTCATTTAGTGCCTAAGACAAAAAGCAGGAGGAAGTGGTGCTTAAGAGGTGCTATATGTACTTCAGAAATAAGAAGATGGAGAAAATACAGATTTTAGTACTGGCTGGAGAAGTGACTGCTAACATCCACCTGGAGTGCCAGGGCCAGGACAGAGAACAAACAGGCAGGAATTCATTTGGGTCTGCTAGACAGCTCAGGGCACAGGATGAGAGGAGATTCTCTTTAGAAAGTACTAAAACCATTTTTGAACAAGTAGTAATTATTTTTAACAGCTCGTGGAGTTCAGAGGAGGTCTCAACTACCAAATGCAGATATGAATCCTAAATATAAATGGAAAAACAGTCTAGTGTATTATTGACTGTACTAACAAGTTCTCAGGAAGATTCTGGAATTAATTAATGAAAGAATCAATCCATAACACTTGGAAGGGGTGACTAAAATCAGAACAAAACAAGCACTATGGATTTGTCAAAAGCGAATTGTATCAGATTGCTCTAATTATCTGATCTGCTGGGCAAAGGGAGAACAAATAGTTATGGCATACCATCACTTCTCCCATTTCCATGGCACCTGCAGGAGTCTGAGGAGCGTGTCTGTAAGGTGCACATGCAGCAGTGTGGGGAATTGGTCTTGAGGAGTGGCTGAAATGATCTGTCTGACATTGGGACCTTGTAAAGCAGGAAGACCCATCCTTCATCTTGAGTCCATCCTCTGCTGTAATTAGTGTTTTCTCTGATGGAGGACTTACAAACTTTGTAGGCGAGATGAAGCAGGGGGAGGAGTGCTAGAGGACAGGATTGGCTTAGTTTACCCAAAGCAAAGCACCAAAACTCACAAGGAGAAAAGCAAAGGATCAAAATAAAGCTAGTTAGCAAAATCTCCTCGTTAACTTGAACCTTCTGTAAAACTTGCTGTAACTCAAACCTGTTTGTGACTGCAGTACTGTTCTGTTTGAAGGCAAAGCCAGTTCTTGCTGCCAGTAACACAATGTGCAGCAGCTAGCAATAAAATAAGTACCTTGGCAAGGTAGTATGAATTCATAAAAGGAGCGTCACTTGCATCATCTGTTGCATGTGAATCGGGAGCGAGGAGAGCAGCTGAGAGTGGGGCTGTGGGCAGAGAGCTGCTGCTGGAGGTGAGCAGAGCAGGCTGGGCTGATCTCACATCTTCCTTCTTCTTGCCTGTCTTCCCTTTCTTGTTTCTAGAACCATTACATCACAGGCAGGCTGTAGAGGCTGAGGTGTAGGTGTGATGCTGCCTCTGGTGTGAGCTGCTCAGTGGCCAGAGGGAGAAGAGCTGTGACCATTTTGTGGCATTGAGGCAGTGCGTGTGTGCTCCTGTCTGCCTTCCAGGGCAGTGTGCAGCTGGTGCAGAGAAAGCAGCATTCGGCCAATATGGTTGCTGGATCTTGGTTTTCTGTCTGTCTGTTTGCATATAAAGGTAAAACACAACATGCCTATTGTACTTCAGGGCAACTCCTCCTGGGTGTGCTGCACAACTGATGCTGGTGTACATGCAGCCAGGACAGCATGTGCTCCTGAGAGGCTTGTTCTTAATGTGGAAAGGGCAGTGGTGGATGTGGGGTAGCAATCATAGTGATCTGCAGTTGGTGCACGTGGGAGCACCGCACTGTGTGCTGCTGGCAGCCGGGCTGCCTGGTGCTGCTAGCATGGATCAGATGCTCCTGTCAGCTCCCAGAGCTCCTTTAGCCAAGCTGCTGAGAAGTTTGTATTCCCAGCCCAAACCTCTGGAAGGCCAATTTGTATTTACCCTTTCTTAGCCAATGTTGCTGCAGAATTCATTTCCCATCCCAGTGCTCATCTCTGGCGTGTCTGCAAAGAACAAACGTTTCCCTCAGAGTTGTCTTTTTTTTCCTGTAAAGTCAGCCAAGCCCTATAATGCCTCTGTTATCTTTAAGGTTCTGAGCTGCATCCTGTCAATCATATTTACGTGAAATAAAACTTTTCTGCACAGTTGGCTCCTTTAATGTCAGCGGGACAGGCACAGGAGAAGCAGCTGATCAATAGGTCTGCCTCACGGCCCTGGAGTCAATAGGAATTTTATTTTTACATCATTGCATTTTGAACTGAACCCAGCAGCAGTGGGGATGGGAGGATCTGGCTTTGACAGTTTATAAAATGAAATTCTTACAGACACTGAATTCATGTGGGTGAATTAGAGCTTGGAGGAAAACAGTTGAAGCTCTGGCATTTTAAAATGTAATGCCCTTTTCTTACAGTGACAAGCTGAGATTTGGGCAGTGTATGGGGAAAGATATGCTTTAGGAATGGGGCCAGGAGCAGCTGGTTCCCAGCTACAGGTCACATAGCCCCAGGAGGAGCCCCTGTCCCCAGGGGTCACCCATTTCTCATTTATGCTTTAGGGATGTGAGCTGGGACTGAGGCAATGGGCTGACAACCTCTCTGCTCTATAGAAAACAAGTTGCGAACTGGAGGTCTTTCTCTGTCCCTCTGGATGTGGAGAAGAGGCTTTGAAAGTGAGAGAAGTCCAATGTGAACTGCTTTCCCAGGGTGAGGGGCTGTCCCCGAGGAAATGTCTGTGCCAGAGTGGATTTTAAAACAATCCTTAAACTTCAAAACTTTTTAAAAAAATGTTAAGCTCCTTTTTTTTTCTTGTTCTGACATTTCTAAGAGGGAATTTCTTGCCTCAATGCTGTGAACTGCCTTATTTTTTTTATAGTGGTAACAGGTAACTGACCTGAAAATGAAGGAGAGGAAATGTGATCTCACACAGAATGAGATGTTTTATTTGATAGAGACACTGCCCTTATGTTTATGAGGAGCCCCAGGGTGTCATTCTCAGTTTGGCACGAGCCCACCGCTGGCTCAGACGTGCAGCCCTGCTGCTGGGCAGCCTCTGCACTGCTGCCTGTCTGCACTCTGTGCTGATGCTGACAGGGACATCTGCCTCCCACACCCCACAGGAATTCTTGGCACATCTGGGACAGAACCACAGCAGTGATACTTGGGTTGGCCCAGGAGAAGGGATGCCCGCACTGCCCTGGAAGCCCTAGCTCAGCACAGCTGCACCTCCTGATCCCATAGAGTCCTGTGTTGTGGACAGGGAGCTTTCACACTGAGTCTGTGCAGACTGGGTGACACTGGAACAAGATCTGAGCACCACCAATGCGTTCACCTCAAATAATCACATCTTACGTAGACAAAATTATCTTTGATTGAAAACTAGCAAGACGAGGGGTAACTGGAAGTTGGTGCCATTCTGTTTAATGGTTCACTGAACCATTTAAAGCAGGTATTGGCTTTTATATCATCATAAATTTGTTATATGCAGTGAGAGCCAGGCTGTGGGGCTGGATGTTGAACTGCCTTTCCTGGTGGTGGTGGCAGGAGGCAGGTGAAGCTCCAGCCCTCCATTCCAGGGTGAGATGGAGCTGAAGCAGTGCTGTGCCAGGCTCTCCCTGCCTGCAGAGATCCTCTGTGACCAGCGTGGGTTACATTCTGTGTCCCACTGCGGTGAGGTGGGCTACATCCTGCCTGCAGCACCAGAATGCTTTGGCATTGCAATGATGAGTCTCTGCTGCTGTCCAAGCACTCGAGAGCTGCAGCTTGCATCAGGGCTGTGAAATGGGGGAGAAAAGCTCTTCTTTTCCCCTGCTGTGCAGTTCTGTGCAGCCCCTCGGCTGGCACAACAAACATTCCTGTCTTTATCTTCGGAGCCCACATTTGGTAAACTTTGAGGCTTGAAACAAAAAGGAAGACGGGGACTCAGGAAAGGTCTGTCTGCCTCTTCAGACAATCATCTGTGAAAATAAAAGTAGAGCATTAATTTCTAAACATGTTTTATTCCTTTTCTTTTAAATGTGTGCTTAACCACACCTTATTTCCAAACTTTAGACCTATGGCAAATAGCCAGAAAATGATATTACAGAAAAGGAATAAAAGCCAGAAAAGGCAGAGAGGAAAGTGCAAAGCTGCTCCTGCCTGCTTGCAGGAGTGCTGCTCATCTATAGGGTTGAAGTCATCTCAGTTTAAGTTTAAAAAAAAAAAAAAAAAGCTTAGATTTTTAAAATTCTTTTACATTTCATGTGAAACTCACTTTCTTCCTATTTCCTGTACTTTAAGAGCTACTGTTCTTAGAGCAGTTTTCTCTAAGAGAAAAACTCTTTAGTGTTACAAAAGTAGTGAACAATAGGGGTAAAAAAAACCACCTAAATTAAGTGAGTTTTTAAGACTTTAAATTTTGTCCTTGAAATGGCTGATAATGCCATTTATTTTTCATCTTCCTTTTTTTTGCTGCTCCTGAAAGTACAAAGAGAATGAAGGGGAGAGCCAATGATACCCTGCAAGAAAAACCAAGTTGTTTTTATGGGTATTAATTTATCCATTTTGTACAAATGAGTAAGAGGAAAGCCAGGAATAATTCTACAAAAATTGACATTAAAAAAAAAAAACAAAAAAAAAAAAAAAACAAAAAAAAACCCCATCACATTTAGTCATAAAATACAGTTTGAAAAGCAATTGGCTGTGTGCCTGCAGCAGTAGCTGTGTGGTCCTGTGCTGAGGCATGGGCTGCCTGCAGTGCATGGAGCCAGGCAGAGGGAAGGGCAGCAGGAATGTGCTGGGCCGGGCTGCTGTGCTGCCCATCTCTGCAGCGCTGCCTCTGCGCTCTTTCGCCTCCTGTGAGAAGCCCGAGGTTTGCTGTCGGCTGGCAGCGCCGTGCCCTGAGCAGGATGGATGCCCTCAGGTGCGGTGCACGGTGCAGCCCTGCTGCCATGGTGTCACTGCTGCCTGCGTGCACCTGTCTGTGCTTGGTGAAGGGTGGAGGTGTCTGTGTGTGGGATGAAAATGGACAAATGTAATGGAAATCAGTAGGGCTCCATTTTTTTTTCTTGTTGCAAGGAGAATTGAATTTTTCAGGCAGGTGGCACAAACAATAAAGCAATGTGATAAAAGTGACCTCAAAAACAAGCTTGGAAGAAATGCTGTGTGCTGCTTCTGCTGTGAAGGCCAGCCTGCCTCCCTCTGCCTTGGCCTTCTTTCCTCCTAGCCAGCTCAGCTGTGTCAGGCTGGGCTTTGGTGCAGACAGGAACAGCCAGTCCAGGAATGAAGGTGCTGTTATTGGAGGGCAGTGCAAGCTCAGCACTGCCTGGTGCATCACGCTGGAAGCAAACTGATGTTCGTGGTGGTTCTGTTTTCTCTCGTGGAGCAGCAAAACGTGGGCACTTCTGTGGGACCTCAGGAGTCAGACCTCAGCAGCTGACTTCCTTACAGCCTGCACTTGTTGGTGAGCCTCTGGGTTGTGCTTATTCCTTAATTATCCTATGCTAAGAAAGTAATGAATTCATGCAGTTGCTAATAGGGGCATCACAATATTTATCCTCTCTGGGAGAAAATACATTGCAAAGTCCCCAACAGTATTAATTTTTCACTGTGAGGGTATTGCATTATACAGGTTCTGAGACCTGTGATGAATACATTTAAGTTCATTATGTATGCACAGTCCCCCCCAGCCCCCTGACTTGATTATTGCCATTATTGTGACACTAATGTTTCTGTCAAGTTTCAGTTTACTCAGTTTCAAAATCCAATTTAGGATTAGCATAGATGTTTCCTCACTTGTGATTGAAAGTGACAACGAGCGTGAAAATTGCTTTGAAAATTGTGGTTTTATGAATGTTATCTTGCAGCATTTAGAAAGAGATACCACTGTAAGAATTACTAAAAATCCACACAATAATAAAAAAACAAGTTCCTCTTTAAAGCCCATGGTGCTGTGCTTCTGCCCATGGAGCTGCATGGCATGCTTCTTCCTTACAGGGAGCTGCAGCCACAGGAATGCGTTTCTGCTCAGCTGTTATTGCTGGAGTTCTGGATGCATCAATATCCACAGAGCAGTGTCTCAGCTGATGAAGAGGGCGTTGAAAAATTAAGTGTGTTGAGTTTTCTCTGCTAACAAATTGGAGCTGTCATAGGCACAGCCCCCAAATATTTTTTATTAGTTCCTGTTGTAGTTTACGTTGAAGATGTTTAATGCTGATGAAAATGTCATCATAATAGATTACAGCACGGCTTATCTCAGCTTCTCCTATGAGAAGCACATCCTTATGGTGATTTAGATCATCTCAGCACTTAAGTCTACCCTTCAAAAGGCCGCAGCTTATCCCAGAGATGGGGGTTTCTGCGTGAAAACCCTATGAAAGCTGAGCAGCTGAGGATGAGGTTGACCCAC